ACCAGAAGATGGTGTTTGTACGTGGCTAAACAGATACAGATACTGCCTTTAACTCGACAAAAAAAAATAGAATTGGCTTGTAAGGTTGGTGAATAAACATGAATTAATTCAGCGAACAAAATTAAAAGTCCATTTTTTAGGTGGAACCACGTCCGCGCGCAGGCCGCACGTGTTCTTAAAGACAAGACGCGCGCGCTTTTTGGCAGTCCTATTGGTTGAAGGAGCCCGGAGCGTGTGCGTATTACCTAAGCCCAACTCACGCTAGTCTGGTGTCACGTCAGAAAATGACTGTCGCCAAATGATGTGACTTACAATATGTTTTTTGTAAGGTTCATAATGAAAGCCTCATCCAGAATCGAGTTATGCTGTTCTCGAGGCAAAAACCTGGGTAACAAGTTGCTTCGATTAGAAGCACCGGATAGATTAACGTGTGGAATCGTACAAAGAAGATTGCTTGACGATCACACGTTGAGGGTATCCGGTAAAGGAAAACAACTTGGCATCCAATTCAGAGCCAACGGACGGACGAAGATTTGTATCACATGCAGAGCATTACTTTGGTAATCCGACAAACAGACACATACAACTTACGAAATAACAGTATCAGACCAGATCGAACCGGATTAGACCAGTCAATAGTCCACTTAACCAGATCAGACGCCATGCCCAACAATTCATGTCAGATTACATTTTAACCTGAGGGGCTGATCGAGTGTATCAAAACGGGTAAGGAAGCATGTAAGGTCTATTTAGTTTGCACTTCTCACACGACGTCATTAAGATCGTCCTTGCAGTAAGTCTCATCGAAAAGACATCCAATCAAAAAGACCAGCTCTACAGTGGATATTTGTTTTCACCTCTGTTACATCCTATATCCACTTACGATGGTGCATGGATAGGATGCAACACCGAATGAAGTTGAAGACGGGAAGGGCGATTTAATCACGAATGTAGTCGCCAATCTATATCAGAGGTGATCTTGAGTATACTTCAATCTTACCTCTGAGAATACGGTTTGGGGAAAACGTGAATTGAAAGACAAGATAGGTCATGTGGAGATGGGTCTTTTTCAGCGAGAAGAAGGGCGGATTTCATGAAAGGAGGTGACTTACTTATTGAAGTCCACTCTGAATTTCACTGGTCAGATTGATCTGGAATCCGCTTTCTTTTCAGGGTCAAAATTGACTTTTTTTTAAAGGCGAAATGACACAATAGTTTGGGGCGCTGTGAACCCATGGTTACTGTGTTCGACTTATGTGTAAATGGGTGCGAACGGGGAACATGGTGCCTGTGTTTTTGGGCAAGGCACTTTACTACGATTGCCTCTCTTCACCCGGGAGTATAAATGGGTACCTGTGAAGGTAGATACCAAATTGAATTGCCCTGATCTCCAGCTGCTGCAGAAAAACGGTCTCATTCCTGATGAACATGGCACATTATTGAAAGCGCTTTGACACATTAGGTATAAGGCGCTATATAAACACTCGGGAGGTAACACACTGAATATACAGTGTTTAAACGTCGGTGAAGGGCAAAACCTAATTTGATTTATATCACCCCGACGCAACATTCCATCTTATAATAGTCCATATAAGGAGTTGTTTACCTTTTTTGCGAGAAGGAAATTCCATAATATAGCTAGATATGATTGTTTCGAAAAACATGAAGCAAAATTGATGAACACAATCGTTGGAAATATATAATTCTGACTTGTTTTGACTTTTGGACCGAAACGTTTGGATTTTTCTGACCGTAAAGGTATTCGGCTCGGGTAATTTTCACCCATCAAGGCTCCAACCGGTCGGAAATATAGTGTTTGAAACCGGCAAACACACATGTATTCCCTTATTAAAATTGACTTCAACCTATCTTTATTTCTTTAGCAGGTCTTTGCATTATATAATCAGTTTTGGAAATTGAAGGCATTGAAGAATTTGTCCTGAATTTACAAAACCATATATTAGATGCAACGGAGACACGACAAAAAAATTGGACCCCAAATGTATGGAATGACACTTATAATAAGGCAAGGAAATGTAGGACTGTTTTCATTGATATGTCAATGATTAGCATTTTTCCGACCGAAGGCGGGGCTGAGGGCTGGCTAGCCACCCCAACCACTTTCCCGGTTCCGCCCTTGAAACATTTCGAGTGTAAAACAGCTACACTTCATGGTCGGAGGATAAAAACGTAAAAGAAAACGGCAATGGGGAAACTATTTAACGTTGAACCAACATTTTGTTGTTTCAGCTACGGGCTGTCTAAATAGGCCCACCTGAATGGATATTTGGCAATAGACAGACCCTTGCTACATTTCCTGGCAAACAACCAAACCTCTATCGCTACCGTTATTAATGTTGACGGGAGATACGTATCACTAGTACAAACGCACCATGATTGTTTTTTGGGGGTGTTTTTTTTGTGTGTGTTTTTTTATTTGGGGGGGGGGGGGTTAGTGCTTTGGGGGAAAACGGAGGGAAAGGAAGGTTGAGTTCCTAAATCAACTACGATACAAATTGATTTCACGGTCTGGGGAGTAAATGATGTTGTCACGGGAGAGTCACCGGCGCAGAGGGACGTCCACGGGGATTTCCTTTGTGCAAAATCAGGAAAAACCAACACCGTACACCTCATCCGGCTAAAATCCATCGCCACTATCCCATTGTTAGTTTCTGTTGTTAACAAGGTTGCTAGTTGAGTGTAGGTGTTGTGAGCTCTCCGGGACTATTGACGGTAGATACACGACTATTCAATCATTTTTTTTGTTCACGTTACGATCACGGAGTGATATTTACAAATACTGTGGAGAAATCAAAATATTAGGAAGTGAATTTTAAAGGGAACATGGGAAAAACTAACATGTCTTAGTTTTACTTAAAAGTCGATATACAAAATACCCACATTTTTTTTAATTTTTTTTTATTTTTACAGATTTGCGTTTTTTTATTTTTACAGTTAGACCTGTGGCAGTGGTTGATGGCGTACACAGAAAACGAACTGATTTCTTAAGTTGTACCATGTCTCAATTAGGGCATAATACAATCATAAAAATAGCAATAATCAATCTGGATATTGTCTTTAAACAAAAAAGGATCAGTAAGTATATACAGGGTGAGTAAACAAAACCACGAAACCCGAATGTCGGGAACATTGTTGTAGTGAAGTTCTGCATGTATCACTTTTAAACTCTAGGATATAAAAGCCCAACTCATAAGCTTTCTTTTACAAGAATCATTCAAATCACTCGTGTAATTTTCAAGTTTTCAAATTACACAGGGATGTGTGTGAATTGTTTTCGTTTTCCTGAAAGCAGGCACACCTTTGTTTGTGATCCGTGGACAGAACTTTAAAACGGTGGCTGTGTTTAAAATTCCATAACTTGAAAAGTACATGAGTGATTTAAATGCTACTTGATCTAAAAAAAAAAAAGGCTGTGAATTGGGCTTTCATATCCTAGATTTTGAAAGTGCTACATGCAGAACTTCACTAAAACAATAATAATGACTACATAATAGAGGGGGAAATCTGAATACATGGAAAAAAAAGCTACAAATAAAGCCAGATTGGTTTAACGGTGTTTTGTGTGTTGCTTTTTCTGTCTGTTCCTTTTGCTTTCGAGGGTGGGGGAATTACTATTCCTTTTTTTTTTGTGGTCACAACGTGGGCAGATGTTAAACAGAGAATATATTTTTGAAATTGAGATGGCTCATTGATAAAATTCAGCTCTGCGTCACGGTTTCCCCAAAACTTGAGTGCCCTGAGGTTGATAAGAATAACATATTGATAACAAAATGTGAAATCATTGACATCTGTAAACTACTTGCGAATAGCGCGTGGGTGCAAAACATCCCAAGCGCCTGTCGCTCATGGGAAACAGAAGGAGTTCGTAGAGCAATTGAGAATTCGAGTACAGCGAAACCTTGGCAGTATAATGCTGAACTTGTTGAACTTCGCTGATAAAATCTAGAAACTGCCCGCTTTCCACGGGTAATTCTATAGGCATATTCCGTTATTCTATATCTGATTCTCTATTCTTTCTGTTTTGTATCCGGATTCAAGAGGCAGCATTCTGGGGGAAACGCTAATTAATGCGCATTACCTTTGCAAGTTTTATCCTTAACCTACAGGAGGTGAAAGTATTGGGAAGGGAATAGACTTTCAAAATGAAATTCATAAAGTATGCTTTTATGATACAAACACATAAAAAAAGTGAGCCCTGTTTTCTTTTTCTTTTTGTGCAAAGAACCTTTTTCCTTTCTTTTTTTGAAGAAACAGTTGACATTCTTTAAAGGCATTGAATTACCGCAACAAAAGTAGAAGGTAAAGGGGCGAACTTGTGTTCACAGGAATGGAGTGCCCATCTCTCTTTCGAAGCAATTGGCCAGACTCGAGTCCCTTCACAGAGAGTTTGTTACATTCCTAGCATTGGTACCCATTTAACACCTGGGTCGAGAGGAGTAATTGAGGTAAAGCGCCTTACTCAAAGGCACAACACGAATGGCCACGGCGGGGCTCGAACCCACAACCTCACGATCATGAATCCTGTGCTCTACCGATAAACCACACGTGCCCCCGTTTTCTTCTCGAAATCCTACCGAACTAGTATCATAAAGCTTACTTGGAGTAAAGATCGTACTGATAATAAGACCATCGTGAAATAATTCCTTCGGCGTGCTCTCAGTTTGAAGCAAATAATACAAGGTGATTTCCAGCGATCAGGCAAGTAAAGAGTGACATAGAAAAAAAATCGTGTTTCGAAATCCAAAGGTTGTACATGGTTTTTAACATTGGTTTTCTTCTCAAAAACTATGATATCCAAGTTTTGAACATTCGTCTTTGGATTTTTGGGCGGTGTTATTGGAAACAAATAAAATGCATGAAAATAAAATGATCCTACAATGCCCTTAATCCTACCAGATCCCAACTTCATATTTTTTTTGTATTTTTCAGACATGTCGCTTAATTACGGCGTACAATTGTTATAGTGCAGGTATACTTACAAACTTGGGCGTTTCTGCTGTTACTTCCCCTGGCCTCTCTCAGCATCAGGTCTCGCAGGGCGTTGAAGGCGTCCTCGTCGCCCACCATTTCCTGTGAGCGACACGCCCCCACAAACAACATCAGGGCCAGGAACAGAAGAACCACCTTGTACGCCATCTGAAATGCGAAGGGCAAATGACATAGCTTGTTACCATGTGGCATTGCTCACTTCGTCTTTTAATCTTAAATATATATATATATTTATATATAATAAAAACAGACAGGACCGACATTATTAGACGACATGAGAGACATTTTGCAAAACAAAAAGCAATCAGTATATCCCGAAGCACCCGAAAATCGCGAACATATAACGAATATCCTCCGAATATTAACAAAAACGAGTTCGACAAATTGCGGACATTTTCGGAATCGGGAGGATTTCCTTGCGATTACTAAAGATACCTCACCCCATTTCATTAAGAGTTTTTAGAAACGGGGACTAGGCTTCCTTCATTCTTGAATACTAGATTTCTTGGGATCCTTTGGAAGTCGTATTTTGAACAATCAAAATATGACCCCCCCCCCCAGAAATTACGTGATGTGCTGCGTAATTTAACACCACTGCGAGTTAGCCGACCAGTTACTGTCGACACTACGCAGTTAGCCCACTAGATACTGTCGACAGCTATTTGTCGTAGACCGCAACACTACTAATATTGTAGACTAAACGATGCTTATTTGTGACAATTTCACAACAGGTTTCTCGCGTAGAGAGGGGCACACTCAAGTCGCATTGTTCGTTGTATACATTGTGTACGCAGCAGCATCAAACGATACAAGCCTTGATAGATAATAATCTTCATTGTAAATCGGCAAAGTGGGATTCAGTGTTATCTGTTTTCAACCGAGCGCGGTCAACGTCTTTGTTGGAAAACTATTTTCATCGCTCGCAACAATTGGTACGTGTTGCCATATCTCTAGACCTCGTCTGTTGTATGTTCAGCCTCCGGACAAACGCTTGCCTTTCGCAATCTTATAAATTCACAGTATCTACAAAATGTGTGATACTATTGCCTACTGGAACCTACTAGCTCCAGTTTGCATCCCTTATCTCATAAGCATTCTCGACCCGCAACGCACGCTCGCTCGCTCTTAGTACCTTCCCAGAATTCCAAATATTTCCTGTTTGCTCATTTAAAAAAGGAGTCATATGTTGTCGTGCATTATTTTAATTCTGCCATGCTCGTTGGGGCCGGCAAGGTCTGAGAGCCAGCAACAAGTTGACAGTTTTGTTCCAAACCACGGGAGGCAGAGTACGTGCTGACAACGCGCTAGGAAATTATCACGGACGTCACGACTCGGACTCTGGGGGAGTTCAGTCGCATCATTCCAGCCTGCCCGTGCTGATCACATATGACAGTTTTTGCACATAACCCGAGCACTATCTTTATATTTAGGCCCGTGTGTCCAACTCCCTCGGCTATTTGGAGTGTCAACCGCCACGTATCTTTATCCGTGTCCCACCTTGGGTTACATACAAACGTATGATTGAAATTCACTGACCATCTTGACCAAGATGTTTCTCGGAACTTTTTATCTCGACAATCATTCCTGTTCCTTCTATTTTTGGAGCAATCATTTCTCAAGGCAATGTTTTCTTGTATTTTTAACCGTGAACGATTGAGGACTAACTTGACGTCACCGGCTAACTTGCGCATGCAAACGAGTATTAGGTTCAGAAGCAAACTATCTATCTTGCATATGACTCGAAACTCTAATCGAATCCAAATTGTTTTCTATGGACACGAGTTGAAAGCTTCGCTAAACATTTCTGTCAAGTTACGTCCGATTGGCTCACTCAAAGTCACTTCAGATTACTATTCTAAATCGTTCTCATCTTTTCTGGGAGAGTCAAGTCCGGAATGGATTGTGGAACGAATGTTCACGATTATCGTGATGATGTGCAAAATAAAACAAAAAAAAGGGCAGCCGGTTTCATTTGCGTATTTCAAGGAAGCAATATGCCCCGGGTATGTACACAACAGAAGTACATTGCATTTCAAGACCGTTCATTACACTCTTTCTTGCTTTGTTTGCCGCGCTGTCGATCTTTTCCCCCCTGTTTTGTGGTTGCTTTATCCAGTCACGACAACCCCTCGGGCGGGCAATTTTGAAAAGGCTCAACAGTTTGCAAACAAGAAATCCCCAATCAAGTATCAAAGGGGGCTTTGCGCGGGAAGCCGCCCCTAATGATGCAGCAAAATTGAGGGATGAAATTATTCATATAACCGAGGCCGTTCAATCAGGAATTGGAACTAATAAAACTGCTGGACCATCTGGTATCGGGGAAGGGCTTAAGGTCTTTCGGGTGGAGAAGATCACGGGATTGCGGACCGATGGTCCCATCATACGTGGGCTTAATTCATGCTTGCTTATTTATCCTTGCATTTAAGTAGGTCTACGTTTGTGGCATAGTCAACTAGGAGGTCATGTTAAACTCGCCTTGTAACAACCTGTGATCTGGAGGCTGGGACAGAATTCGGGTCGGGGGGGTGTACAGATTAGGCATTCGTATCGTTTCAAAAGTCTTGACTTCTTAACATGGAGGTATTGTCACCAATAGCAGGGCGTGGACATCCGGGAAGTTTTTACATTGGCTTATCTAGCTTCTAGACGTAGTTACTTAACCATTAAAAAGGGCCGAGGGCGGAATCGCCCGCCCCCTCAACTTTCTCCTCGATGCCCTGGCAAAAATAAAATTTTCGACCGGAGCTCTGCTGACTTTCTAGCCTCGTGTCTTGCGCATGTTCTGATACCAAAAACATAAAATTCCGACCATGGACCATGGGTTACCGCGTAGTGGTTTTTTTTTTTCCGGCCATGCGCGCCGTGAAAACTGAATCTCCCCATTATGTAGTGCATAGACAAAGCAGAATTATCATTGGTGCCAATGAATAATTAACTAGCCGATGATTCCAAAAACCTACAGTCATGCCATTTCTTGAGTATGTTTATAGTTATCCTACGCATGCACCAAAATCTATAAGTTTTTGTTACTCAATGACCGAGATCTGAGGAGGGTAGGGGGGAGGAATCCCCCCCCCCCGGCCAACTTTAGGGTTAAAACTCAACTGTTCCTGAGTCGGGAGTGCTGATTGGTAATTGGTAGCACATATCAACCCATGAAAACGCACATGCTAATGAAAAGATGTTCTCATTGGCTCAGCCGATTGTGACGTAGTGCCTCTCGCGCCTATAGGTCGATACATTAGGCCAAAAAACAAATTAGTCGGTCTCTGGTCAGCGCGCGCGTCGATTTTAATCATGCGCGTCAATTTTTTTTCCAACATGTTCCGCGGTAGCTCCAACAGCGCCTTCTATTTCCGCACCTCCTCTTTTTTTTTTTACCAAAGAGCACCAAGGAATGGGAAATTGCACCAAGGCAAATGATCGAGAGCACCAAGGCAAATTATGGAGGACACCAATGTACATGAGGACACCAAAAAAGCTAAATAGTACCCCACCTTGTCTGTACAATCCAAGCTTGAAAAAAAAAAAAAAAAAGCCGCGTCGCCGCGTCAATTCCGGAACTTTGGTCTGACCAGAGACCAAATATTTATTTTTTTGGGCCTTAACGTCCGCCCCAAGATGCTTGGACCGTTCACAGTGGTGATTAATGTCCAACACGCGTGCGCAAAGATCCGACACGCGTTATTTCGCAATTTGTTCCATTTCTGCTGCATAGTACGACGACTCCTCCGTTATTTGATTGCTTTTAACTGTGCTTTGATAGATTCACTTGACCAACGATACACAGTTTCAAAAAGCAGAAAATGAACATGCTTTGTATTTTGTACAGGACGCGTGATCGTTTGGTTATGACACTCGTTATGTACATGTAAAACATCGGTTTGTGGTCCAAGACATTAAAAGCGCCTTTATGTAATATCGGTTGTACGGTATAGGTTTCCAGAAAGTAACTGCATATTACGGAATCATTTACAGAAGTGGGATCCAGACTTGTATGGACTTTATTTCACATTACTCTAAGTAGAACGTACAAATGCCACGATAGGCCCAACCTACTATTAACTATATACTAGAACTTGGCGTAGTTTAGTTTTATATTCAGCTGTTCCCGCCATGATGAAGTCACGGTTTTTCCATGAATGATTACGAGTTTAAATACGAAAAGAGATTTAATGCAGTTTTCCTCTTATGTTTGCAACAATTTAAATTATATCATGCATTCGTTGGAATAATTACACATTACGGTCAAGAAGGTGCGTACTTGCACAGTTCGCTACAATTGAACATGACACAAATTTCGTGAGCTCTGATTGGTCAGTTGCTGCGTAATGAGATTCGCTGTATAAACATGTCCCAGAAGCTAATCACGTTTAGCTTTGTGGCGTTTACATGGATACGCGTTTAGCATTTTAACACTTTCCTAAACGCGTTCAAAAGAAATGTGTATACATTGTGTCGAAAAGCTAAGCACTTTAGTTTCGTGATTTTAAAAAATATAAGCGTGTAGCATTTAAACACATTCCTAAATGCATTTGATTGTAATTAAAACCTAACTATCGTTTTTACAGTGTATTCTCAGTTGTTTCATGCCAAGGAAACGCCAGACTGATGGGACATTATTGGCTCGTGACAGACTTGACTTCCGCACACTGCCGTCCACGAAGCAAAATAGCTATTAAGTACAGAAGATCGCTATTGCTGTTTGCCTATCACCGGCAAGGTTTCTTTTTTTTTCATTCCAAAGACATTGTTCTTTGCTCTCTAGCGAAAACAAATCGATCATACCCACTCAGTTCCTCTGATTGAGATGCATCAACTCATCAACTATCCCTCCTCCTTCCCCCATAAATAAAGCGAGCAGGTCAAAGCAGTCAGTGCTTCAATCATTGCCAAAATGCAAGGCTTGCTAATGACAAAAAAACAAATGCCAATCTTAATTTATCACACCGTTCCTCGTTGCTCCCCTCTTTGCAATTTTTAAGAATAAAACACACTGTGATGGATAGACACCCTTCATTTTCTTAATTGAAAATACAAAATATCGTTCACATTTATCATGGTTATTAGGCAAAGGAAACATTGTGCTAAATTAGATCTGTCTTATAAATCGATGGACCGAATGTCTCGAAGGCAATAACCCGAGG